TCCCAGAGGCTTGGAAAAAGCCTCTGCAAGGCTTCTCAGACTGAATTATAGGCCCACATTGCTGGAAGTGACGAAACAGGCCTACAATTCAGTCTGAGAAGCCTTGCAGAGGCTTTTTCCAAGCCTCTGGGAGGCCGAAAAAGGCCTCAAACCAACCGGAAAAGAAAATCAGCTGTGAGGCGTGTGCATGCACAGTAAGGTAAGTTTGCCTACGGCTCGTGTGCCAGCAAAAATGGCTCTGCGTGCCACAGGTTCGCAATCACGGCTCTAGATTCTACAAAGATATAACTGGTATAACTATGAATTTTTTTCCAGTTTATTCAGTCAGATTTACTTTGATTGTTTCTACATCTTGTTAGGCTTCTGAAGCACATACAATATACCATAATTATAACCAAAATTCCACTTGTATGAAGATTTATTAAACTACAGTGGTGATTGCAAAAGAAAAATAATTGGTTAAATCTTTATAGACCTAGTCTGTGGAATGATGGCTTTGATGAGCTATTTTGTGGATTCTTTAGTCCTTAGAATAACAACATATACCAAATTACTTTAAGGAATTAATGAAACAGTTCTTATAAGTCATTTTTCTCATAAAGCATAATTAGTAATTGCAGGCTGGTCATATAAGGCTAATGAGTTTAGTATAGATAAAATAAAGCATGTGTAGTAACTATGTAGGCAGCAAGTAAACTAAGTGAAGCTTGCTGGTCATTCAAAGAGTCAGACTGCAGTTGTAAACAGAACTAGCAGAACATTAAATGAAATAGCTAGAAAAATTGAAACACTAAGACTCGGAGTAGAAGTAAGCAGAAGTATGTAATAAAGTTAGTGTTGTGTGGTAGATTGGGGCTATTGCAGGATATATTGCTGAGGCCTGTGTATAAATCGTGCTCTGTACCTCATCTAATCTGTGAATGAGATACCAGTTGCAAAAAAAGATTACACAAGGTGAGAAATTGGGCTCATTGTATGTATCTAAAACACTACTTTTTATCTGAATTCTCTTCAAATGGATTTGCAATATACAACCTTCTCAGGACCTCAGAAATGTTATCGTAAAAATGCCAAAACTGAAAAAAAGAGAAGAGCTTCAAAGGGAATAAATTCAAAAAAGATTGGGCTCTGATCATCTTCATTATACACTGCTCAAAAAAATTAAGGGAACACGGAATTCCGCTTTGAAGTCTCTTCGGCGACAGACAGAAATCCACGATCGTGCGCGGTTTCTGTCTGTGCTCGCCGCTGGAGCGCCCCGAGCCAGCTGGTTTCGGGGCTAAGCCACCCCGTAGAGGTGGTGAAGAGGGGGAGACCGCCAGCAGGGTTGAGGAGAGCCGCATCTCTCCTCAGCTGGCCATTACTCCCTTTTCCGAAGGCAGTTGCAGCGGTGGTCAGAAATAGCCACCACAAAGAAGAACTCGACCGGAAAAGAATGTGGAGGAGGAAGATAAGAAGTGAACATTTTGGCTGATTGGGTCAAATTGTAAAAGCAACAACTAAGGTACCCTGGAATTTAAACTTACAAAAAAATAACATCGCTCCCAAAGAAGAGTCGGAAGCAGCGAAGGAAAGTGAAAAGGAAAGGTTTGGTTGTTTTTTTTTTCTTCTCTCTCCTTCCCTATACTGACAACTAAGAGACTTAAATAAGAAATTGGAAAAATCCGCTTTGACATCAATAGGCAATTAAGCTGAAAATAAAACAAAATGTCAAAGGGATAATAAAGATTTCTGGACACTAATTTTTTTTTTTTTTTTCATAAGCAGGAAGGGAGAGAAAAAGAATAAGGGCAGGATCTGGAAGAGGGAGGAGACTGCCTGGAATTAAAAAGAATCTACAGTAAAACTTCAACAAGACTTCTAAAAGATACATTTTAACTGAAACTTTGTAACTAAACAGTAACCCCAGGAAGAGAAAGTGAAAAAAAAGAGCAAAAAGAAACAGCTTGCGTGTATTTGGATTATTTGGTGATCTTTGGATTCTTGGTTATTACATTTGAATGACTAAAATTAATCGGGTGGTTGTTTAAAAATTTATACCATGGCACCACTTCTGGATGAATTGAAAATGGAACTTAAAAGGTACAAAGAAGATGCACAAGAAGGGAAGGGTTCTTTTGGCTTCGTTTTTCAATTCTTAGAAATGGAGATATGGAACTATGAGAAACAACAAGAAACGTCTGCAAAACAAGAAGACTGGGACAAAGATGAAGCCATCTTTAATGAACAAGTAATTTTAGGTGAGGAAGAAAAAGGAAAGTGGGGAAAGAGAATGGAGAATTTAAGACTTAAAAAAACAACCAAAGAAAAGAAAAATAATTCGAAAAATAAGTATAATACTGGAAAGCAACAGAAAAGGGGAATACAGAAGAGAGAAATAGAGGTAGAGAGACAAGGGGGTAAAAAGGGGAGAGAGAAGAAGAGAGGGAAGAAGGAAAGGAAAAGAAGTTACAAAGGACCGGAGCAAGATATAGAGAAACAGGACTTATTTAGAGATAATGGGTGAAAATCTAACTGAAAAAGGGATTCTGTAACGGTACATAAGATTGTATTGTTATATTAGTAATAGAAATAACTTTAGAAAATTGGAAACAATGTATGATTAAAATGAGGGATAAAATAGTGTAATTTAGTGAAATGTTTGTTAATAAAATAAGTGAAATAAAATAAATGAGAAAATTGAATTAGGAAGGAACGGAAACATTTTAATTAGTTAATGTTTTATAAAATATAAGTGAAGAGGAGGGGGAATTAATTATGGAAAGCTTATAATTGTTCCCATAGAAGTATGATACCTAATTGAAAAGTAATGTTAAAGAAGTTAAGACTTTAATGAATATTAATATTAATGATAGAATTGAATTGGAATGGAATGTGTTGTTTTAATTACATACATTTATAATTTTTTCTTTTTTTAAGAAAATAGTGTGTATTTTAAGAATGTACCAAGCAGAATGGAAGTTATGGAAATGGAAGTTATGTATTATATTGAATGTTATAACTTTAGGGTATATATTGAGGCCTAAATAAGAGTTAAATGGATAAACTTAAAAGATATAAAGGCGTCCTACTCCAATCAGTAACTACAGGAGAAATTTTGTTTAATGAGAAAAGATAATAGATAATTGAAACATATAATTGAAAAAATATAAATACAATGATTTGAATTGAGATGAGATAATTAAAATAAAATTGAGAAAATTAAAAGAGGGGAGAAGCTATGCAGAAAATGTAAAATAGTAATAAGATATGGAATAGAATATAAAAATGAGCATGAACCTGAATTTGTGTCTGTACGAAGAAATGTAACCCTAGATTACGCTACTTTCAAAAAAGATGTTTTATTTGTATTTTTTTTCTTTGTGAAAACTCAAATAAAATTTACAAAAATAAATAAATAAAGGGAACACAAAAATAAGACATCCTAGATCTGATTGAATAAAATATTCTTATTAAATACTTTGTTCATTACATAGTTGAATGTGCTA